GGGGAAAATGGGAGAGAGAGAGAGAGGGAGAGAGAGAGGGAGGGAGGGAGAGAGAGAGAGAGAGAGAGAGAGAGAGAGAGAGAGAGAGAGAGGGAGAGAGAGAGAGAGTTTGTTAAAAATATTGGCTTATTTGGTTTTTAGACTCTTTCCATCTCTTTCCTAATATGAATAGAAGTTGTTAAATGTCAACTATCAAGAACAGATTATAAAAGGCAACAAGTAATTATGATAATCTGTACTCAAATTCTGACAATGAGTAAAAAAAAATTAATACTTTTTCAGTGGTTGAATGATCTTTTTGTGCAAGCATCAAATTATGCAGCTACAGGCTATACATCTTATTACTTCAAGGCATGTACGTGAAATTTTCAGCGGCAACAAAGATGCATCAACAAAGATGCATCAACAAAATATCCATTGTAATTGAAAAAAATTGTTATCATTTTTATTAGGATACCGAAAGTGTTTGTTACAAGTAGATAATTTGAAACAGCTATGGGTTAATTTAAATGCTTATTATTCCATTAATGAAACAAACAAAGATGACAGCTGTATGTCTGTCTCCATTTTCTTTTTACTATTGTTGTCAAGTAACTTTGTTACACATCTATAATTACATTAGCATCCCTCATGCCAGTCAGCTTCACAAGGTGACAATTTAAGGCTTAAATTTCAAAGGAAAAGTAGGGTACAGATGTGCTGGTTTATCATGCAAAAGGATTACCCCCTAGCCTATCAGGGCCTTAAACATACTTGTACTAAATATATGCATGTTATGGTTATCATTGTTTTAGGTACATAGGAGGAAAGTAGATGGATGACATCTACTAGACCTAGTTATTTCATAATGCACTCATTCATTTACTTTTCTTGAAATGTTTTCTGTAAACTTATGATGAATATTATTACAATTTGACCAAATACATGTATGATGTGCACATAAGATATCAATGTTCCAGCATGCACAGTTTGATAACAGAGAAGTAGAGTTCACTCGGTTGTAAAACAATCAGAGTGACCCTAACCTCTAAACCTAGCCTTAAACTCAATCAAAATCCTAACCTTAACCATAGCCCTCACCTAATCTAATCTAATCTTCAAGAAATGAAGCTTATCGAAAGTGTCGCAGGAGGATGCGTAAGATCATCACCTTTGAAGATTGCCTTGGACTGAGTGGAAAAGAAAAAACTGATAGTAGAACCAGGCATTTTTGAACACCCATGGGAGTCATATTGGACCTCATCTTAATTTACAGAGAGATTAAACCATGGTGTAGCATCCATCTATCAAATTTTTTATCCAGGTCAAGGAATTCATTGGTTTCCTCTTCCATCTTACCCCCTCGCAGTTCCTCATCTTAATCTTCACCCCTTTCCTGTTCCTCCCTGTATTCCTTATTTAATCTTCACACATTTGTAACAACTGTTGTTCTTCATGCATCAACAATTAATGTAGTCAAGTTGGCGACCCACTTCCATCATTAACAAGGCCGACATCCTGACATTAAAACCCACTTTCACTTGGACATGCTCTAGATAAAGCTGGCTCAAATATATTAATAGCATCTCTTCAGGGAGTTTTGTGTTTCCTTTTCTTTTTGTATGTTGTGCGTGTGTATGAATAGTTACTTAGGATATATGTATTTGGAAGGTGATTCATCCGGAAGTCTGGCATAGTTTTTGTGGGTTATTGCAAACTCAAAATACAATAATTTCTTAAATTAGTAATTGTTCCAGTTGCAGTAGGACAAATTGGACACCTTGTTCATATAGGCTAATCCCCAGTGAACGGAATGACACACTTACACACAAGATCAGGATAATCGAAAGAGGTTACCTAATTCCCTAATTTTTCCGGTCTGAAATTAGCCTCACTTTCCCTTCTCTCCAGACAAATTGAACATGAAAAAGGGGAAATCCCGGGGGAATTTCAGTAAGTGTCTCTAATGATTAGTAGTGTCTCTGAGATGAGAATCGGTTAGGGGATCTGGGGACATGGCTGTATCCTCCTACACATGCTGTCATGTACCCTTGTTGGGAATGTCCACTCTTTAAGAGATTGCATAAGAGAAATTTGTAATGGTGGTGCTAGAATGAGATAAATTGAATTGATGTTGACTGATCTTGATACATAAATAAAGGAATTATGTTAACAACCACATCAGTCTTGGCCACAAGCAAAGAGTCAAGTTTTTTTTTTTGTAGTTAAAGTGATAGCCTTCATTCATCTTAGATCGTACTTGAGTGCTATATTTTCATTTGTTTTATGAATCTAATGGACATATTATTTGCCTATTCCTTCACAGAGGTGTATGTATACCCATTTGTACTTTGTATATTCCTTCAATGATATAAGATTAATCACTTTTTTTAAATTAAGTTATTGAACTAGATTTCCTAATATCACACTAAACATGCTTGAAATAAAGTTGTGTTTAACTCGGTTGCATCCGTTATGTCATCATAATGCCAGGTTCAGATCAAATGCTTATTGCATTCTCTTAGGCTGATATCGGAATTTCAAAAAGAAAACATGTGAGATATCAAATGAATGTCCACAAAGTAAAGTCATCTTTGTTGGTGCTCTTATTTTTCACTGCTTCCGGATAATATCGACCAAAAAGTTCACTTGGTGAGAAATAAGAAGCGCCGATAAGAAGCTGTTTTCAGACCTCGGAGCGTGTTTGTCCTAGTTTATGATGGATAGAGGGCTGCAGAGAGATCACTTTTGTTGAAATCTTCAGCCTTTAAACTGACCATTGTCCTGTAATCTAGGACAGTGCTGGCCAAAGAATAATCACCGCTGGCGTGGAATTACAGAGCTGTAAAACCGGTGCCCTCGGACGTCTGGCGCCCATCCTGACATTAGCAATGTTTTTTTTCTCCATCTAGCCTGAATTTGGACGTATTATTAGTCTGGTCGACTTCCCGAGCCAATCTTGTTGGATTCTTTCCTCTGTCATTTATTTGATCTCATTTTTTCTTCAATTATCAAAAGGATGGAAAGTCATTATGATACCATCTTAAAAAATTGATGTGACATATACATTAAAAAATTATGCGATATAGTATTAACCGTAAAAGATTGTCTATATTATTCAGACTTTAAAAAATATTATTCATAGAATACACTAAGAGATAATAAACCTTAAACCTCGGCGTAGACCTAGTTTATAGAAGGTGAATGAATATTTTATCAATCCTTCCCTAGAAGATCATTTCTGTTAGTGTATTCTGATGCTAGATGGGAATTATATAAGTTTTTTTTCATATCATCATAGAATCAGGGATTCAGATCATTTCCTGGCATTTAAAAAAAGGTGTTTCTATTGCAATTCTGCATGTGTAAAGTTGTGCTTTGTTATCTATCGTAAGAGATGTTTTAGATTGACTGTAATGAATGGAACACTAATTCATGAAGTCATTCTTCTACTCTACTATAACAAAAACAAAAAAATGACAATGATGGAGATTTCATGGACATTGTATTTCTTTTTGTGAGCATCAGTAGGGATTTTATTACTCCCTATCCCACTACACAGAAGGTATGCAACCTTAATACCGTGTTTTACAAATAACCTTACATACTTTTGTATAAGCAGATCATGTCTAAAGGTTCCCACAAAAGATATGAGAAATTGGTGCAAAGTAATGAAAAACAAAAGTGGTCATGTGATAAGTTAACGAATGGTTAAAATCCAAATGGAAAAAAAAAACATCAGTCCCAGGTTGACAATGGATGATGGAAACTAGGTCATACATTCTAACTTTTTTGAAGAGCAATCGCTTGAAAATTAAAAACAAAAATGCAGACAATCTACGACTTCCAAGTTGCAAAAAGAAAAAACAAAGTGTGTACGTTTGAAGGGTCATAACAGGAGTGTAACTTCTAATAATATGTTTTAAAGATACCCTTTTTTTTAACCACTTGCTGCCAACAAAGTATGAAGATCAAGTTTTAAAAAAGACGTAATGAGCTCGTTTTAAAATCAAACATCATAAGGAACATGCTACAGAAGGAAACAAGGACAACATTTTGAAACAAACATGCAAGCAATTAGTATGCTATGTAGAGCAATATTTATGTTGCTAGTGTAATTACAAAACAAAAGACCATTACTTTCTTGATATCATTGGAAGTTTAGATGTTATCAGTTCTATCATGGGTTTAGTACTCTTTACCTGTATTAATTTGCAATTTAGTTGTTGGTAGTTTTTATTGAGTTGTTGGTAACATTTTTCCTCCTCAAAGATGTATTTTTTTAGAGGGTTTGTTGTCTGAATTATTGATCATTCTCATGTCGTTGCTTGAAAGTAACTTACATCAGGTGGTATGATGCTGTTAATCCGTCATCTAAGATACCCCAATAGGAGTGGGAGTAGAGGATAAAGAGTGTGTGGGTGTCTTCATCAGCCTCTTAATTTTCTTCTCTCTCTGCTCTGCCAGTCTCTCTCCCTCTTTCTATGTCACTCACCCCCGCGTCTAGGGCACAATATTCCTCTCTCCATGCTCTTGTCATCATTTTCAGCTCTTAATTCGCCATGTCGCTCATTGGGAGAGCATTTATGAGTTTGGAAATCATCTTGGAAAGGTAAAGCGATTGATTCTTGTGGTGGTCTTGTCGTCGAAAGGTGTGGTGTGGATATCTGGGAGTTCTTGTAGATGCCACTGTGGACCAGCAGGAATGGATATATATCTATACGAGTGTGGAATACATGTATGTAAGATGAACCTTGTGTGTCCTGCGTGAGTTGTTTCTACCGTATGACTGATTTGCCTCTTAGTGAGAAGTAACTGCAGCTCTTCTGCAGGGTTTGCGATTTTTGAGTCATCTTAGGCATACGTACAATGTATATGCAGCAGTGTTTAGAATGTGATGATCTAAATTTCAGAAAGAAAGATCCAACTGTAAGATTCATGTAATAGGAACCCTGTGAATTAGCTGTGTAGAATTAAGCTGTGTAGAATAAGGATATTCTCTATGTAAAATTGTAGGGGCTATGTGTAAGGTATCCAGATAGTTGCCTATAGGTGTGCCGAGTAAGCTGCAGTAGGATTGGTGTTTACTCCAATCACAGAGAAGTAAAGAGATGTGAAAAGGATTTGACATTAGTCACTTTTTTTCTTGAGGGGGGGGGGGGGGGGGGGGGATTCTTCACAACACCAGAGCACCCTCCCTTCCTCCCAGAGACCTGTTCCTGGAATAATACGCTATTTAGAATTGTGAATAAGGATTCTTACTGGATTCATGCCTTATAAGCAGATGTAAATGTTATGTAATATCATTTAGAAATTGAATTGAATTGAATAAGGAATGTGTTGGGCAAAACCAGGATGTTTTTTTCTTCTCCACTTTGTGTCTTACTTTTACACTGTGAAGTTGACATTTCAAAATGACATAAGTTCACATTAAGAGTTGTTATTCAAGCTATACCTGAGTTATCAATGAGCTATCAACATAATTCTGTCTTCAAGTATACCAATATCCTGGACTATGTTTGAGGCAACAAATGGAACAAAATACCTTGCTCTTTGAAACTAACCCAATAATGCATTTTATTTTATTCTGCAGAAGCTGGTTTCAATCAGAAAGGTTGCTCTTCGGATGCTTCAGATCTTAGGATTCCTTGGACAACAGAATGTCATCCATGCTGATCTCAAACCAGAAAACATCCTCTGTAACTCAGGTAAGAATAGTGGAAAAAGAAAATATACTCATAAGTGAAAACGTAAAATCATGTTTTTTTTTTAAAAGGTGTCATGAAGGTTACTGGTACATGAGCTCAAGTAACAATATGGTATTCTAACCATAATTCTTAACTTTAACCCTGGACTATACACTAAACCTAACCTTCACCCTAATGCTAAAGCTGACCCCATACCTCATCGCAACCCTAAGCTTGTACCTTTGATGCAACGGACCACAAGTACTTTTCACCAAACCAAATGCCGAGCCCCCATCATGGTTTAATCAATACTCAGGGGACTATGGACTATGTGGTCCAAATCATAATCCCAAGCCATAATACTTGCATTCTTTGGCGATTTATCTGCATTTATACTACCATGGACTCTACTACTATACTACCCTGAAAGTCATTGTGACTGCAGTATTGTAGCCAGCACAAAACACCCTCTGTGCTCATACCAAGCACAGGGGGCATACACAAAATAGGGTTCTCCCAAATAGAGGTATCAACAAGGGTAGTACAGTGAAATATGTCTATAAAGACCACTCAATTGAGACAAGAAAAGTTGTCTTTGTAGACAGGTGATCTTTCTATACAGGTGGTCACCAAATCAGGTTTGACTGTAACTATATGAATGTATATTATCAACTTGAACCTGCTTTGGTCCTTCCAAACTATGCCTGGGATATTGGAGTCCTTCTCTCAGTTTGGATTAAGATGTATAAACTTCCTGTTGAACACCCTCCCGGATGACTGATATTCCTTTTAATAAAGTTATAAGTTATTATTTTCTGCATTATAGGCCGCTGAATGATTAAAACTGCATGCATGAAATACGGTATTAACTCCAGGGCAATAATTATTGAAAGGATGAAAATAAGTCTTATTGAATATATTAATTTTGTTTTCTATCTTTGTAAGATGGAATGGTAAACTTAAACAGCCTTCTGATACATGTTCTTCACTTTAATATCAGAAAGAGAATCCGATCTGATCGGTTTTCCTTCTAAAGCTGACCATGCATGTTTTAAGGCTAGCAATCCGATCTTGGATAAATATTTGAAAAGAGGCAGTACCCATCCCTAAATCAAACACATGTGGTGCAGAAATGACAATACAGTCAGAAGGCCTGGGAGGGAAGAAAGATGATGCCAGAATTCTCAGAAAAGTTTGCTCTTTTCCTCAAGTGGTTTTTAAAGGCACTCTCAGACATTTGTGGTAGATGAAAAGGGATATGATGAATGTGAATTTTTAAAGGTAGCAATTAAGAGCATTATATAAATAAACCCTGAGTGGCATATATTATCTTTTATATACTTACATTTTGATATATAGAGGATTATTGTTTTGCTCTACTAATCAAGTTTTAAAGGCACAACAGGCAATGATCCCTTCCTTGGTGATAGCACAATACATGCACAATATACATTGCACATTTGCACATTCGACCTCTTGTAGTTGATAAGCCTTTAGATGCTTTTGTTTTAATTGACTCTGAAAAATACTGAAAGATTACTGTTAGTACAAGTACTGCTGTTGAGGACTGTCTACTCAGTTTAGAATCATGACAAGTTCAAATTTTCAGCCATATTTTTCATGATCATCATTTGGATCATCCCCAGGAACAGCTTTTCATTTCATTAGGTTATCTTTTGTAAAAATATTCGATCTTGAAATTCTACAAAATGTATATTAAGATAGTCATGAAGTTTTATTGCAGTTTTGCAAATGGCTGACATTATCTTTAATGTCTATAAAGGGGAGATACAGGATTGCCAATAATACATTGGGTTCTCAGCTCTCACTCTGCGTGTTATGAATTGTTTGCAAGCTGTCTGAAAAATAGCGACTTCTGACTTTGTGAGCGAAAGCAATCAAGGGAAGATTGAGGTAACCAAGGGGGTTTGTTTGTGTTATATTCCTTTAATACATCCAAGGAATTCACATCTGAAATAGCAATTTTTAACAGTGTTATTGCAGTTTGCTAAAGTTTGAATAATTTTATATCAAGAGTTGATAACAATTTACTTGATGAAAAAAATGAGTTGGCATCGTACATTAGAAATTAAAAGCTGTGTGAAGCTCCTTTTTTGTTTAAAGAATCCCAATTTTGAATTGCTTTGAAAAATGTAATTTTAATTCATCATTTTTTTCTTCAATTTTTCACTAAAAATATTTTTTTACCAGACCTATTTCAAATATATATATTTTTTAAGGCTTTTGGTGCTCTCAGAGATGAAACTGAAGACAGAAAAACAGCTTTTATCAAATAAAGACAAAATTTAAGGAAAATTGAAACAAAAAATGGGGACCTGGAAGAAACAGCGGCACTTGTATCATGCAGGATTTGCAAGGAGGATTACAGCCCCGTACACTCAGAAGGCATGACTAGTCAATGTTTAGATTCTCATGACATGCTCCCCAAATTTATATAAACTTTTTATTGTTTAGATGGTATATCCTTTTCTTTTAGCTTAGAACATGTTCTGACATGTTGAGCTTGGTTGCCATGGTTACAATACAATATTGATCAATAATTCTTCACGAGGCAATACGTTCATGATATCCATGATGTGCACGCAAACAATCTTTTGTACAAGAATTGTATGCAAAGCCCAACCAGTAGCTTATATTCTTTATATCGCCTTTACTTTTGAATAATTTATGGAAAATCCTGTAATCTGGAAAATCAGAACCTATCAAACTGTCAACATGGCATTAACTTGAAAGAGTTTGTTTTCATCTCTTAAAACCTTCATGAAGCTCGGAAGATCAGTCACTTTTTTAATCTTCAATTATGCACAAAACGATGTGTTATGCAGTAGAATTAAAGTGACAGTTTTAATGTATTTTTATTGCAGAGGTATTTTTTTATATTGGTATTAGTTTTTATGGCCTTTAAGAGTTAGGTAGATAAGTAGTGGATAAGTAGAAAACTGTGCAGGTGCAACCTGGATAGAATTGTGGTTCAAAGTGTTAAGTTTGAGTTCATCCTAACTTTCTTTTATTATTGGTGTAATTTTGTGCAGGAGATTTCACAGTAGAATGAAAATAGAAAAGTTAGCATCTGAGCAAGCGATACCTGGGTAGAATTAAAGTGATGTAGTTCACATTATCAAGTCCTCTCAACTTTTAAAGATCACACTTTGAACAATCTTTTGATGCTGTATTGGAAGGCTAATAATGTTCAACCGATTCCAGATCAAGAAGAATAATAGATGCTTTTAGATGGTTATAAACATGCTCTGTGTGAAGTCATATCCTTTCATTTGTTAGGAAGCTTGTTAAATATAGAGCAAAGACAAACTTCCACCTCCAGTTCCTTAAATGCAATCTTGACTACTACTGATAAGAAACCAAGACTTTTCATGCAGACTATTTGATGACAGAGTTCATACCCAGATATTGTATCATATTTTGAAGTCAGACTCCTGGTATGATTTAGAAATTATGTTATTAGGCTACCCAGGGTAGTATGTGTGTGTCTCGACATGTCTGATGATCCACGTTATGGTTCATTTTCTTATTTCTCTTTTGGTCATGCTTCACAACATGTGCACTCAACTTTATTTTAGTATGCTTATGTTGCTGTTAAAGTTAATTCAAATTATAGGGCTATATGCAACAATAAGCAAAAATGAACTATTGCCCATAAAGTTAGAACAATCTTTCTTACCTCTGTCATGAAATGATTGTGTCAGAATGGTCTATTCTTGGTAGATATAGTTTTTGTTTGTCTTCTCAGGACTCTATTGACCAATCTGACTATGTAGATTTATCATTAAAGTTCTGAGAAAATATCTACTTTATCTATCAAGAATCTCACAATAACTCCATTTAAAGAGGTAAAAACAAATATTCCTACTCTAATGGCAACACTTGTGGATAAATTTGATGTGAAAAACAGTTAGCAAGGGATCATGGTGAATTAAATCCATATTGCAATGATTCCGCTTTAGTATTGATCTGTTATGCCTCAAATAGGTAGTTCAATGACTTGTTTTAAGGAGATTTCTCTGTTGAATGACCTCAAAGATAATCAGGAAGAAAAAGTTTTATTTACAAATTGTGCAATGTCTAGTTAATATTTATATTTATATTTAGGATAAGAAACAAATAACTTTTAGCTGATATTGGTTCGACCTTTTGGAAATGAACCCTTGAAAATAGAAACAAGCCATTGACTTTGTTGTTATTAGATTTTGTAATTCATGATATGTTATTGTTTAAGTATTTTTATTTGGCTCTTCCCGCAGATCATTTTAATTTCTTCTTTCTTTTTTGTTTCATGTTCAAACTCCCACTAGAGAAAAGAGTGCCCAGAGTTTAGTTCTAATAATTAAATATGAATAGAATAAAACTATTTCAGAACACTTTGAGGTAACAGAATAATTTGTTTGTTATGCATCATAATTCCACCCATACAAGAAAATGAGTCTTGTTGAAAATCATCAATGGAAATATGTGTGAGATTTTTCTTTATGTACTTGTTATTGTTTTGAAACTATTTTCTTGTTGCTAACTATTTTATAAGACAAGGCACCCTCCATGTACTCTGAGAGAGAGAGAGAGAGAGAGAGAGAGAGAGAGAGAGAGAGAGAGTGTGTGTGTGTGTGTGTGAGAGAGAGAGAGAGAGAGAGAGAAGGGGGAAGAGAGAGAGAGAGAGCAAAAGAGATAGACAGAGATGAGAGACAGAGAGCGAGAGAGAGCAAGAGAGAGGGAGGGGAGGGGGAGAGGAAGATGGAGAGGGGAAGAGAAAGGAGACAGAGGAGAGACAGAGATATAGAAAGAAAAAGGGAGAGATAGGGAGATGTGAGAGAGAAAGAGAGAGAGAGAGAGAGAGAGAGAGGTGGTGATGGGGGTAGGGGGGGGGGGCGGGTCCTGGTTTAAAACTTCCACCTCCTTTACAGTACAATATGTTCATATCTTCTGCAGATCATGTATGATTAGGCTTTTAGATCGTTAATTGAATTTTATGCTATTGAATAAACTTGGTC